GCGGGGATGTGCAAATGGATGTCTAACATTACTGGATGTACGTCTCGGTCCTACCCCTCTCGTTCGTCATGCTTTCTGACGTCTTCCATTTAGGGATGTTTTTCTGGGGAATAGGCATTACCGAACGTGCGTCGCGTGACTAACCATCCAGATTGGATGACGGCTCATTCTTTTCCATGCTAGTCATTCTCATCATCCGGACATGGGCAATCTGGGGACGGGACAAGTGGATAGGGCTGGGCTTGTCCGCAAGCCTCCTTTGCATATTGATCGTCAGCTCGTACCTCCTCAACAAGTTCTTAAATTCGCTGAGATGTGCGTCTCGGACGTCTGTCTACCGCTAATGCCAGCTGCTGACCAGTACTTTGGCAGTTGAACCCGCACCGGCGGTCGCGCCGTCTCTGCAAGGCTGTCTTCCCATCGCGGGCGGGAACCTGCTTTGGATTGACTTTGTGCTGTTGATGGTGTTTGAGACTAGTGAATCTCCTCACTCCGCCCTTGCAAGACTCCCTATCTAACGTGTTCTGTGTAGTCGTGCTCGGACTGACGGTCTTCAAAATGGTGCATACATGTGCGTGAACTCGACTATGACGACGATCTACGGACCACTGGATGTCGTTGTCACATAGCCCGAGGGAGCACTTCGCCCCTCGTCCGCTCGCTCTATCGAGATGGTCAGTCTTGGCGTTGACGTGACAAGACGGCACTGACGTCGACGGCTTTCCAGGCATTCTTTTCTATTTGTACCTATTCGGTACGATACTCCAGTTCAAACACGCTGCCGACCATAAACTCACCACTTGACACCTAGCGATATCGCTCGTGAACGTCGTCGTGCTACTGACAACACCACACGAGTTCGATAACCTCCTCTCCTTGTACGTTCTTTCCCCCACACATGCGCACGCACAAGCCGTCTGACGCCGGGCCACAGCCTGCAGCGCTCGCTGCACTCGATACTCTCCGCGCGCCTACTCCTGAACCTACGCGAGGCATCGATGCGGTCGTGCGTGCTCGTGGACGGCGCGTCGGTCAATGACGAGACGAACGTGAGCAGCATACACTTCACACACGAGGCGCGCACGAAGCGCAGAGCGTCCGCGGCGCTCTTCAGCATCGATGACGGGGCGTGGGTCGACGGCGAGAGCTCGCACGACATGCATACCTCGTTGGAGGCGTCGCAGACGCAATATTTCGAGCTCGGGCCTGTGTTGGAGGGGCGGAGAGGGTATGCGCCGGAGTGTTAGTGTTTATGGGCGTGTATTTTTTGTAGAATTTATCGCGTTATGTAATGAGCCGGCGTGACCGTGCGAACCCTAGTCATGACCCCTCCCCAGACAGCTGTGCGAACACGAACGCATGTGCACGTCCGAGTTGTTCCTCTGTTGGGGGAAACTATCGCCTCAATCATCCACAAAGTCTCTTTCTGATAGCGTTCTAGACCACGGGCGAGAACCGGTTCCGCTATGGACCGCGCTGCACTCTCCGCACGGCGTGCGCTTCCATGCGAAAAAGACGAGCATGCGTGGATGTACGATCACCATCAAGCTGCGTCTATACATTGCCAGTGGTTTTGGCACAGCCCCATGCGACACGCCTCTCCCCCGTCGGCCGTCAGCCTGATGTGCCCCGGTAATCTTGTGCGTGCGTGACGCATAAAGCAGGAGCCTTCAGGGACGCGGGTACGTTCGCTGGTTGCTTTCTGCGTAGCGATGTCTGCCGCGGAGCTAGCCTCTTTAGTTGCCTCGCTAAAGCGCTTTCAGATCGATAGTGTGAGTCGGTACCGCACAGCTCAGAGCATGCGAGGAGTGCTGACGTCGCGAGTGTATTTTTTGGGATTTTCTTTGATGTGGACAGTATCTAGATGGTGCGCCTGTTTCAAGTGCCACGCTACCTCTGCTGTACTGACGTATTTCATGCATAGTCTGCGCATACTCGTTACTCGTCAGTCGGCCTGTGTCTATCTTCCCCTTCGTCTGTCGCTCAGCTTTGTCCCCCTTCCCTCTCAGGTCTACGACTACTTCCTCACATTCGAACGAGAGGTTGAGCTTGTGTGGAGTGCAAAATGGAATCTCACCAAGATCCTCTTCTTCCTCACGCGCTACCCCGTATTCGCCGACTCAGCCATGGTGCTATATCGTGCGCGCTTTCTTCCCAGTGCAAACGTCGAGAGCTCATCCTCGCCCTTTAGATAACGTGGGCAGTAACCTCTCAGTGGGGATGTGCAGATGGATGTACAACATCACCGGATGTGCGTCTTGGACCTGCCCTTCACTCTCGTCATGGTTTCTGACGTCCTCCACTTAGGGATGTTTCTTTGGGGAATAGGCATTGCCGAACGTGCGTGGTGTGGATATCCATTCATATCGAAGGATGGCTCACGCTTTTCCATACTAGTCATTCTCATCATCCGGACATGGGCAATCTGGGGACGGGACAAGCGGATAGGGCTGGGCTTGTCAGCAGGCTTTCTTAGCCTCTGGATCGTCAACTCGTACTTCCTCAACAAATTCCTGAATTCTCTGAGATGTATGTTCTCGACGTCTGCCTACTGCTATTGCCAGCTGCTGATTAGAACTTCGGCAGTCGAGCCTGCGCAGGCGATCGCACCGTCTCTGCAAGGCTGTCTCCCCGTCGCGGGGGGAAACGTGCTTTTTATTGACTTCGTACTACTGATGGTATTCGAGACCGGTGAATCTCTTTGCTCTGTTATCACAACGTTCCCCGTCTAACGCCTTCTGTGTAGTCGTGCTCGGACTAACAGTCTTCAAGATGGTGCATACATGTGCGTGAAGTCGGCTATAAGAACGTTCTGCGGACCAATGAACGCCGTTGTCGCATAGCCCGAAGGAGCACTTCGCCGCTCGTACGCTCGCTCTATCGAGATGGTCAGTCTTGACACCGGTATAACGAGCTAGTACTGATGTCGGTGGGGCTTTCCAGGGATTTTCTTCTATCTGTACCTATTCGGTAGGATATCGTGATTCAAGCACGCTGCTGACAGTAGACTGACCGCTCGGAACCTAGCAATATCGCTCGTCAACGTCGTGGTGCTACTGACAACACCACGCGAGTTCGCGAACCTCCTCTCCTCGTACGTCTCTCATGTCTATGTGCACATGTTTCCCGTCTAACGCCGGGCCACAGCCTGCAGCGCTCACTGCACTCGATGCTCTCCGCACGCCTGCTTTTGAACCTGCGCGAGGCGTCGGTGCGGTCGCGCGTGCTTGCGGACGGCGCGCCGCTCGGCGGCGAGAGCGCACTCGCGGGCGAGACGGGTCTGAGCAGCATGCGCTTCACGCAGGAGACGCGCACGAAGCGCAGCGCGTCCGCGGCGCTCTTCAGCGTCGACGACGGCGCGTGGGTCGACGGCGAGAGCTCGCTCGACACGCATACCTCGTCGGAGGCGTCGCAGACTCAGGATTTCGAGCTCGGGCCCGTGTCGGAGGGGCGAAGGGGTTATGCACGAGAGCGGTAGTGTCCACTGGGTATCATAATTTTGGGAGCCTAATATGGGATTTTTGGACGCATATTGAGGATAGACGTGTATTTTTTTGTAGAATTTATCAGGTTAATTGAGCAGTACGGACGTGACCGTGCGAACCCACTTATCCATAAGCGCGCGCCCAGCAGTAATTCATCATCGCTGTTCTTCCGCTGCGATCTCCCGTCGAACTCTTCGTGCCAGAGGAGAAGACGTCGCCGCACATGGGAACATGAGGCTCGTGTTTTTCATCCAGGCACTATAAGGCCCGCGACGCGCGCGCACCGCTAGCAGGGCCCCTTCCGCCCGACCACTGACGACACCGGCCGCGATCATGCACCCCCGACACTACCGCCTGCGCTTTCTGCTCGACGTCGCGCGCGCCATCGTCTGGCCGCAGGTGGCGTGCAACGCCGCGCTGCACGCCGCGGGGTTTCATCCGACGCCCGCGCTACGCGTACTGCTCTCCCTGCTCGCCGTCCCGCTCTTCGGCGCCGTGCGCACGTCCATCGCTCAACGTCGCAACAAAGCATATGCTGGTAAGTTGTCTGCAAGGGGACAACACTGGATGCGAGGGTGGGGGAGCTGACGATAGTGCCAGCGGCGCTCGGCGCAGAGCCTGTCCCGTGCGTGCGCGGCAGGTGGCCGGGAAACCTCGACATCGTACTCGGCTTCGTGCGCTCGTTCAAGGAGGACTACCTCATGCAGTTCCTCGACGACCTCTTTCGCGAACACCGCTGCAAGACACTCAACATGCGGCTCCTTTGGGAGGACCAGGTGCGTCGTCTCGGCTGGTGAGGCTCGGTATATGCGCTGAGTCTGGTGTAGATTTGGACGATTGACGAGGCGCACGTGAGGTATATGCTTGCTGGGCCCGGGTTTGACTGGTTCCATAAGGGCTACTTTTGGCAGGAGAGAATGTGAGCGCCGCGAGGGGACTATGGTGGAGGTTGTGCTGAAGCGAATGTTTTAGGGAGAGCTTCCTCGGAAATGGAATATTCAATAGGTGAGTGCACGCTTTGCTTTACGAGGTCTGGAGTAGGGATGCTCACTTCCAGATCAGGGACGGTGCCGAGTGGCAAGCCGTAAGCATACACTCGCGCTGAATCGACGTTATGCTCATGCGCCGCTCTCAGCAACGCGCCATCGCGCGCCCCTGGTTCGCTAAAGACCGACTGTCAGATCTGAACATCTTCGACCAGCACACGAGCACGACGCTCGCGCTCATCTCGTCCTTCGCAGACGAGCGACAGGCGTTCGATGCGCAGGACCTCTTCGCGCGCTTCACGCTCGATTCGGCAAGCGAGTTCCTCTTCGGCAAGTGCCTGGACACGCTGCACGGCACGCTCCCCGTCGCGGGGCGCGCGAAGATGGGCCCAAAGGGGACGAGCATCGACGACGAGTGCGGATCGTTTGCGTGGGCGTTCGAGGTGCATGTCTTCTCACGCCCGCATGCGTGGATTGTTCTGATGAAGGCTGGAAAATAGGACGTGCAAGTGCAGGTTGCAAGGCGGACCCGCATTGGCAAGCCTTGGCCGCTGTTCGAGCTTTTCCACGACAAGACAACGGAGAGCATGGCGGTCGTGCAAAAGCGGCTCCGCCCGATCGTGCGCGAGGCCCTGGAGAAAGACACCCGCGGCGAATACAATGACGAGGAGAGCACATTCCTCTCGCATCTTGCGAAAAGCACGGATGGTGGGTGGTAGCCTTCGCTAGCCAGGGTTATTATCGTATTAACATTGTCTATGGTGGCAGATCCCCAGGACATTGCGAGCGCTGTGCTGAATATGCTTCTTGCAGGACGGGACACAGTACGTCGTTTGCGGCTCCTTCGTATATGGCTGTATGCTGATTCTGGTATCAGACTGCCTCTGTCCTATCGTTCGTAGTTTATTTTTTAGCTCTGCACCCCGAGGTGATGAGAAAGCTCCGTGCCGAGATCCTGCACACATACGGCCCAGACGGCCGTCCCTCTGTCGAGGATATGAAAGACCTGGAATACTGTGCGTGCTCGTATCATTCCTCTCTCTCCTCAACCTAAAATCTCCTGGAAGTGCGCGCTGTGATTAACGAAACTATGCGGCTCTTCCCACCTGTGCCAATGAACCTTCGGCTCTCCGACAGCGACCCACATGTCTTCCCCGCGTCTGGCAGCGCACCAAAATATTTTGTGCCGCCAGGAACAGGCGTCCTCTACAGCGTCTTCCTCATCCAGCGGCGCACGGACCTCTGGGGCGACGATGCACTCGAGTTCCGACCTGAGCGTTGGCTCGAGCCCGCGACTACGAAGCTGCTCGCGGATTGCCCATTCGCGTTCACGCCGTTCCACGCAGGGCCGCGTCTCGTGCGTCCAATTTCGCTTTCGCTTTCGGTATAGGGCAGGAAGCTGACGAGCAGCGGATAGTGCCTCGGCCAGAACTTTGCGTACAACGAGATGTCGTTCTTCCTCGTGCGGCTGCTGCAGCGTGTCGCCAGCTTCGAGCTCGCGCCCGACGCGCAACCTGAGGGCTCTCTCCCGTCGCAGACGTGGAAAATGCGCAAGGGGCGCCAGGCAATCGAGGAGATCTGGCCGGCAAGCTCGGTGACGACGTTTATTAAGGTGGGTTATACCAGGCTGCGTGCGGGAAATGGGACTAATTGGATGGTAGGGAGGGTTGTGGTTGAGGGCTGTGCCTGTGGGAATGTAGCTTCCGATGGATTGGTGAGCAGTTGTGGATGTTGCCTGCAACTCAGACGGCTGACTGGTCTGACCAAGTATTTAAAAGGCGTCGTATTCTCTTTATTTGGTACCACCTTCATTTTCAATACACTTCTATGCACCTATTCAGACATCAGCGTCTCAACATGTGAAGTTCTCATATCGATATCGTCGAAGATATCGTCCTCGGTTTTCAGCGTTGTGGCTCGCGAGTTATTAAGCGCCGAAAAATAATTATCAATAACGCGGTCACGCTTGGTTTAGTATTATTTGGTTCCGGGGCCATCCTCCTGCTAGCCTCAAATGGCGGCTCTCTTAGCTTTCTGCTTCTTCACCACCTCTTTCTCTCTTACCACCACCACCTCTCCCATTTCTCTTCTCATATCTGCGTCCACGTAGTTACCGTGGTTGTCGTCAATGGCATCAGTAGGCCTTGGGTCTTGCGGGGAGAGATCTTGAGATGCCACACTTACCTAGTCTTCAACTGTGAGGGAGATGGGCTCCATAACAGCTTAGACAAGCTTGGCGTGCAGTTTACAAGAAGGTATCAGGTGTCTGCTGTATTACCTTGGGTGTACGTGCTTACAGCTTGGAGTCAGGATGCTCGCCATGGGCCACAAGAGCTCAAGGTTCAACATTGACGCGGATTACTTTGACAATATGCGCTAACTAACATCTCAGCAGGCTTCAACTTTGACTGACTCAATCTCAGGTGTGAGCCCAACAGAAGCCCTGACACTCCTCAACATGCTGTCCGCAGCACCAACCTCAACACCATGCATCACCTGGGTCAGCCTTATCATTCCCCGGCTATCAAGAGTCTACGACACTAAGCATGCCTGTTATAAAGATGCATGTTTTTGAAGTCATCTGAAAGCCTGCACTTTCTACTGAACAATGTCTTCCAGCTCATGCATACAGCATCTTTCTTCCAGTTCAGTGGTCTGACTTTCTAGTTTTCTGGCCCTGCCTCTTATATTCAGCTCTTTGCCCCTGATCTGGGATTTCTCTCAGGTCTTGCTTTTTCTTCTTGACTATCTAATCCCGCAGGTTACATTTTCTCCAGCTTTCTTGGTTCAGCCATCTGGGCTCTCTTGGACTTTTCTGGAGAAGCTGACAGAACTCACATGGATAGCAGGTCTAGCAGACCTCGCAGCATCATTAGTTGAGGTAATGTCCATGTCTATGCCTGCTCATCAGTCTCGTCGCAGCAAAATAGTCCATGCATGGTGCAAGTTTCACGTTGCTTGATAGGCCATGTGTCCACAGCAGGAGCTGACCTTCCTAGCATGAGCGTGCAGGCAGCAGGCCTTTAAAGGGAGAGTACACCCATGGCAGGGGCTGATCTTTAGGGAAGCTGAGTGAGCAGCAGGTGCGCAAGCATGAGCGTGAGCAGTGGTGACTTGCTCTGCACAGCTGCAATGCTGGTGCCAGCACCAGTGAGGACGGGCAAAATGAATAGAGCCTGCTCATGATAAGCAGTGCGAAGTGCTCCTCACAGAGTGTGCAAACATGCAGCAAGAGTGGCCACAGGAATGGGCTCACCTTGAAGGCAGCAGCAGCGGCAGCGTCATGCGAGAAGTGTGGCGAGAGTGAGCGTGTGTTCCACTGGTGTGGCAGCTCAATCACGGGTGGGAAGATTGGTTTAAGAGGTGAAGGTGGTGGGACTTGCAGAGATGAGCAGCAGGAGCCAACAAGCTCAGGCACCTGCATGAGCCTGAATGGCTGGGATGGGCTACTGGCTGCTGCTACTGCTGTTGGGGCAGGTGTGATGGGGCAGATGATGGCGCGACGAGCGAGGCGGTGAACTAAGGAAATAAATCAAAAGTTAAAGTTAAAAAAAGAAAAAAGGCATGGAGCACCACACACCTGGATAACGACATACTCCAATGGGCAGACCTGTCCTCTCTCAGGCAGAAGCTTATTGTCCAGTGTAGTGGATTAGACATCGAGTGAGCATGAACATACTAGATGAGGCTGTATTCAGCATACATTTGCAAAGGAGGGCCAGAGAGACAGAGCGAGGCTGCATTCAGCACACATTCATGAAGGAGAGCCAGAGAGTCTGGACAAGGCTGCATTCAGCACATGTTTACAAAGGAGGGCCAGAGAGATGGAACGAGGCTGCATTCAGCACACATCTACAAATGAGAAGCACAAACACAGGTGATGGATGTGGTTCAAGAGCGAGCATTGTAGCGCCAAGTTGGGGTCAGTAAAGTACAAACATGGGTAAATAACATGTGCATGAGGTGCTGGTAAACATGCTCAAAAATCGAAACAAAAATTCAATGTCGAGTGTGTATTTTATTGCTTTGCTCACCATGCTCACTGGTCATGTCTTGTTGTGCCTTCATATCTGCTGCATCTACAGCTACTGATCATCCCGTCTGTCTAGGATCAGGTTGCAATCCAACACAGCTGGAGTAAGACACCTATATTGTAGTATCCATAATATGTGTATGTACATTGTATGAAAATGCCTTGCTGTGCCACAATTTCAATGGTATATATTTATGTGCTCATCATTATCTTGTTGTTACAAACCTGAGACAAACTTGCTCTTCCTGTACGCAGCACAATTGCATATAAACCTTCATAATCTTAATCAGAGCACCCATGAAGAACCAATGTTATAGGCTTTGAGGCTCAGCTCACACATCACTACCTCTTACTGTTGAGCCTTAGCTCCAGCCTATAGTTATCTTTGCCTACCCCTTGTGGTTGCCTGTCCTAGTCTCTGATAGAACTGTTCTGGCTGTAGTTAGTGTTGGAGTGTGATTATCACTGATAGTTTTAACATGAAAGTGAAATGAATTGAGGTGGCCAGCAGAAAATTTAAGCAATGTATAAGTGAAGGTCTAGTGCATCCAAAGCTAGCTTAAACTTGTAATCTTAAGCAAGTTGGAAGCAAATCTAAAAAGTTGAAAACCTTGAAACCATGACCTTAAAAGAATTTGATCTTGAAAAGAATGATTAGAGATCTATAGAGTAAGCTATATTCTGATACAGAGAGGAAGAATGCTTCCAGATAAAGCTTGAAACTAAATGGAGTTTGTAAAATAAATGTTTTGGCTCATTCTTAGGGAAAAAGAAAGGCATTGAGAATTAAGAAGTGCCATTAGTTCAAGGAGATTTCCTGGTGCTTATGCCATTTGACTGCACAATTTCTTAGTATAGAGCAAACTGTGTGCATTATGTGTTCTGGTCAGACAATTCAGTAAGCTATGGTGTTTCTGTGCAATTAAGCAGCTAAGTGTACATGAGACAGACACAGCATAACATATAAACTAGCTCATTCAATATTCAATCTTCACCTGTACTTAAGGGATCATCATTACAAGCTTTCACCAGGCAGTGCAGCATTAAGCAAATATGAACTGATCTTACAGGCATAGGCTGATAGATTAAAAGGCTTGTGATTAATACAATAGGTATTTACACTCATAAACCATGTATCTTACATCTTTGTATGGCAAGATCATCCACATCTAAACCAATATGCACTCACTGGCATTTAGTGGTGTTACTTCATTAAAGTTCAGTATATTCCAGGTTCTACAAAAGTAAGTGCCTTTAATTGCACCTTTGAGCGTTTCCTGATGAGGTTCAAGTTTAACTTGAGGCCCTGAACCAGACTTTTAAGGCTTGCAAACTTTAAGCTCTGTCCTGCATATTATTATACTAAATATAGAGTTAGCTTTTGTTATTGTAACATATTACTATTATATAAACACTGCCATTGCTGTCATGAGCAAATCATTCATACTAAGACAGTGCAAATGATAGAAAGAAGTTTTGTAATATGGTAAGGAATGAAGAAATTGTACCTGCTGAGCACCTGTGCTGTGGCCCACATCACCCTAGTTAAAATCTTTCACACTGGCAGGATGTTCCCAGCAGAAGCTCACCAATCTCTTCTCATTGTACACCCTCTTCCATTACATGTGCCTCACTACATTTCATCCCACACACAGATTGCAACTTTCATTGCATTCAATGCTCTTTGCACGCCTACTCCTGAACTTGCACGAGGCCTTACTGCAGCTGACGCATATAGACCACACCATATCTGGGACATTCTTCAGCATCGATGACCGTGCATAGATCAATGGTGATAGCGTACACCTTTAGCCGCAAGTCTGATTCCCAACAAATTAGTGTACACAGGTTGAAATTGATTTGCAATTTATCGTTTAACCCTCTCGTTGACCAATGCTGTCCATTGCACCCAACTTTATGGTATGGGTTGAAATTCTTTCTGTCGTGCATGAAAGGAGTAATAGGAGTAATCAGATTGTAGTGATCATCATAATATGAATTTGGTACTATGATATGTATTGCTGTTCAATGTTCAATGTCAACCATCAAAGACGGCATGTTGAAAATTACTTTCAGTGGATAGAGAACCTAAGCATGCAGGCTGCTTCCCTTAATTGACTCCTTTAGCAAAGACAACCAGAAGAGGAGACATACACTTTGGCATGTGTTAGTTTCCCTCTCACAAAGCAGCCTCCATGATAGAGGAATGTGCAAGAGGAACTTATCCTGAGGACTAACGTAAAGGTCTGCACCAGAACAAACAACTCTCAGTGCAGAACCAGAGAGCATTTGTCCACCTCTCGAGTTACATACCTTGATGACTTAACAATGTGAGGAAGGAGAATGTGAGGTAATAGCATGAGAGGCAGACAACGTGGAAGACATGCGGTGCAAACAAAATGCTCGAGGAGAATAGGAACAAAGACAGCAGCTGACATGAAATTGAACAGATGAGAACAGGAGAGAGGGACACAATTGTAAACTGCTTGGCTAGATAGGAATTGGATGTCTGAGAACACAATGGTATTAGGCAGAATCAACCGAAGACATGAGATGACCAGCAGAACAGCAATGCCAAAGATGGTTAACACAGATTGAGCAGCAAAGCGGCAAGATGACTGGAACACATGTCAAACTGAGACAACACTATAATCCAAAGACTGAGACGAGCAAGCGAGGTTTAGTCTGCAAGGTATTTAACCCAGCTTAGTTTGCACAGATTGTTGGTGACAACAAGTGCCAAGAATCAAGAAAGTAGGAACAGATTGCCAAGAAGGAATATTGGCCACCAGGAATGTTAAGAAGAATACACTGACCAAAGAACAAGAACAAGATGTCTATTTATTGCCTGCTGACTTCTCACAACTCAACCAGGTCAAGAATGTGTTCCTGACCTCACACCAGCACCATATGTCAGCGCCTATCAGCTTGACGGACTCTGTGGTGCACAGTGGTGTGTCGTCCTTCCTGCTGCAGCCATTCTGCCATGTGCAGCAGTCATGCAAGTGGGAGCTTGAGCCTGGAGTGGCATGGCATAACAGTATAATACTTCTTTAGTAGCTATCAGTAGTAAAACCAATTGAAGTTTATTTGTGCAAAACATCAGCATTTGGTATGCATGAAAGCAGAGCCTGAGTGGCCAAATTCTCATGAACAGCACACTTGCTCTGTCTTATAAGCCATGCATAGATGCTGCAAATTATATAGTATTATATAACTATACAATATACATATATGTTATGCAGACTATATAAACCCTACAATTATGACTAAAATTGGCTAGATCAAAAAACGCCACCAATTTATATATACTCTTACTGGGAGTTTGAAATAGTTTAGTGTATCAGAATGGTTTCCAGATTGTGTATGGGTATATTTAAGATTATGAGAAATTCACCAAAAGTCTGATGAAGCTCTCTAAGCCCAGCCCAAAAAGTGTGGCCTGAGTCAAGCTTGGCAGTGAGCTTAAGGCCAGACTCAGAGCATATTCAAGCTCAAGCCTGGCTTAGAAGCTCCAGCTTGGATTGGGCTTGGGTGCACTAGCTCTGTTACTGTTCTTTGAGTTTAGAATAAGGTGAGAGCAATTTGATATGCACATACAAGACAAAATATGGATATTTTAGAATTAACAGTTTCTGCTGAGCATGATTGTGTGCCATTGTCTGGTGCCTGCTATAGGTGTGCACTTGCGGACTTCATCACAACTTGAGTTGTTTTTCAGATGAAGGTTTTTTAAAAGTTATAATTTGGCAAGTATATACAGTAATAATATACTACACTCAAATATACTCTTTTTTGATAGCACCAGAACACTCATTGCATTGTAAGCAAGCTTGAGCTTAAGCTCAGAGCTTGGTTCAATGTTGCCACAAGCCCAAGCTGGGCCTGCACATTACTAGCAAGAGACTAGAAGTGGGAGAAGCTGAACTTCTGAGGAGCAAGACAGCCAAAAGTGATAGCCAGGGTAAATACCAGCTCAAGATTGGAGATCTTATTCCAGAAAGTTTGCAGTACTATATACCCTACAGAGTAGGTATCATACAGTATTACCTAAACATACTCTGACCTACTTCAAAGTTCTATATAGAAGCTGGGCCAGAGCTTGACAAAGCCTGACATGAGTCTGATAAAGTTCAGCTTACATAGGGGCTGAGTCTGGACTGAGCCTAATGCTGACTGGATTGATATAGGAGCTGGAGAGTTATGATGGGAGAAAGAGGTAAAAATAGGAGAAATGTAGAGACAGAGGTAAAAGAGTGAAAATAAGCGAAAATAGGTGGAAATAGTGGTTAAATTATGACAAAGACTAATAAGACTTTGCTTAGAATCTCTGCCCTCTGTTTGAGCTTCTTCTCACAACTAATTTCCTGTCTTTACAATATTGGCTACAA